ACAGCTATTCAAATGATGAGAATAATTATAATAAATTTTGATGGATTTATTTCGAAAAAAACGTTTAATGTGTTGTTGCACAGTTGGCAATGTGTTTGCATTCGTGAAATACTAACTAAAATTATAGAGATATGTATACGATTTATCAATTTCTGTAATAATGGTGGAATTTTTTTTAGGTATACTACACACACAGTTATATTAAAGATCACACACATATCGACAACAATTAGGTTACATTTAATCAATTTTATTTTATTGCGTTAGAATATTCACGTTCGTGTCGTTACATCGATCTCCGAGATAATTGCATCTCGATATCAAGATCCTTTTTTTTTTCGAGTATTGTGAGGAGTCGTCGCGTGATTCTCCGGCCACCCTCTGCGAAGAAACGGGCGTCGATAACCTCACACGTACAGTCGTTAACCTTCCTTCGACGATAGACGTGTTATTTACAGCGGCCAACGCGTCTCTCGAATCAATTGGAACGACGAGCCAAATCGCGTCTCCGTCCGGCCATTTGCGAGCGGCGGCCAGGACGGATCGAAGGGGTCGTTTCTTACGGGTTGTTAGCCCCGATCCTACGAACCATTACCGACATTACGTTATCTCGGTGCGCTCCTGAATGTTATCGTTCGACTTCCCGCCCACACCCATGCCAATCCGCCCTTGACTTCCGCATCACCCACCACCGTCGCCTCCGTCGAACACCTCCAACACTTCCCGAGTTGCGCTCCCTCCAGCTAATCTCTGTTGCATGACTGCGGGCTCGTCATAAAGCACGCACACTCACGCGACGCACACTCACGCACGTGAGATCTCGCACGTACATCCGATATCTCCGGAGGCAAAGAATCCTCCGCGGTGGATGATGGTCGGACGAGGATGCGCGAGGGGTGATTTCAAAGCGGTAGGGACGAACCACATCCTCGACGATAAAAGGGATCTTTTTGCTCTGGATTCGCTACGCGAGTTGCCTGCGCGCAATATAAACACCAACTCGCGTATCTACGGCTGGCGAATAGTTCCAGTGAAACGAACGAACACCCATCTTACCTCTTTCCTTAGTTCTTACTGGTCAGATGCAATCATCCTTACGGCTCGTCTTAAGTGAGGAGATCGTTCTCTCGTGTCAATGGACGATGAACCTATCCGCGCGCGGTTTACGTGTGGGGGTGTAACAGCACGCGCGTGTCGACGCTCTCGATGATTTATATTACGACGTTACCAGAGACCTCGTCTCGCGCGTACGTCGACCTTTTTTTCGCGAGCATTATGCGCGATATTGTAATGCACGACGTTGCCGCTGGCACCGACCGAGATACCAAATTTGAATTATATCGGTCCGGTCGTTGACTGCTCCCTTGTCACACGTTTCCTTTTTTTATCTCGCCGCAAAGTGGAATAAATCTCCGCTTATATTCGAATATCCGCCTTAAATGTCCAATTTTCCCGCAGAATAACAGTCGTAACTTGACTTGTAATCGAAACGCGATACAAAACGCGATACGGACGCAACCGGTCGACGTTATCGTTATATGTGTTGCAATTTAATAAAAAAAATATTGCACGAAACGTATATATCTCTAACCTAGCTTAACCTAACGTATTTCTAAAAAAAAAAAAAAGTTTCATTTCTGTTATGTATTACGACGATCCATCATGTAATATCGGAGCGACGCGACGTTAAATATCTACTTTCTTTTCCGCGACATATCGCGCAAAATAATCCATTCAGAAATGAGCGTTGCAATAACTTCTGTTGGATGGAATATCAGCGTTTGCATGATGGAGTTATAACACGATTACATCAACCTAATGTAACTTGTATGAGCGTACGCAGCATCACGCATGGCGTGGTAATAAATTCGCGATAATTACACGGTTTATATCTACATGAAGTTATCGGCTAAAAAGCCGGTGGGGTCGAATCTCACGTGCGTAAAAAGCTTAAACAACGCGTAAGCGTGTTTGTAAAAAAAAAAAAATAAAAAAAAAAAAAACGAAGCTTGCCGTTCCAACCTTCGTGCTTGTCGCGCTCGCGAATCATAAATCGATGCGTTATACTATGGAGACGTACGTAATTGGAACGCGAGCAATCTGTCGCCGCGTGTTACCGGAACGGACGACGTACATCCAGATCTCTCATCGTGGCCAGCAGGCTGCGAGATTCGGCAATATTTGCAGCTCGCTAATATTGGTATTCGCTATTGGCTATTTGCCAGTAAATAGGAATTTTCCTCGTGGTCCCGGATACTCTTCACCGAGAGTATCAACGACGTATACACACACGTTACAATCCTTTGGGGTGCTTAGTTTGTGCTGCGTAGGATACACACACAATCTTCAAACGCGCAAACTGTCCGATAAAATACAACGTCAGCGTCCTCTAAGTGGCACAGTCGCAGCTTTTCAATTCAATAAGATAACTTTCCCTTCGACGGGAACTACAGAAGATTTTCGCGAGTGCGCGAAGAGAGTTTCGCGCGCGGAAAGAAAGAGACGCGAATCGGGGCTGAAATAAATCACGGGAGAAAAATAACGGAAATAAATCACAGTTATACGATCGCGCAGGGAACGTCACTTTGATGCTGTAACAGATTACACGATCACGTCAGTCGCCACGTAACTTTCTAGTAGCTGCAACAGTAAACTGTCTGTGACTTTTATTCGGTACATACGTGCCGGGACGGTGTGCCAGGGATAGGTATAAATGTACACCTTCGTGTCGACGTGAACGCGCCACCTTCACGGATGTCAAGACATCACCACGACACTCACAACGCGGTCGACGTATCGGAAAATATTAAAAGCGTTCAGCGCATTTTTGCGTCAAACGGTGTGTCGCTCAACCGTTCGCGCTCAACCGTTCTTTCGCTCGCGTGACAGCCGCCACGAGACTCTCTCTGTGCGTTCCTATAAAAAGAAACTTGTTTATATATATATATATATATATATATATATATATATATATATATATATATATATAAAAATATATATATATGTATATGCGGGACACTTTTATACACACAAGACGTAAACTAGAGAAGAGGAAGAAGGAGACAGGCAAAGCGAGAAAACGGTTGGTCACGCGACGTAAAAATGAGCTATCCGTTGGATGTCTTTATCCGCGCTATTAACCGCAATGTTTCGTTACCGCTGTTTAAAAGGTAAGCGATTTTCCTGTTAATTGTCCGGCATGTCTACAACGAAAGGAAACGCGGAAATAAGTCCTGGTCACGTAATCACCGTGATTAATGAATTACAACGCGAATGTAAATTATAAGTCGTGAGGTGTCGCAGTGAATGGTGGACACTCGCGACCGGCGCCCCGTGCACATTAAGTAGTAGCGCACACTGATAAGGTCAGACAGTAGATAACGGCGCGCTAAAAACGGTTTTTAGGACAGTATCTTAATTTCTTCCCGGCATCTTAATCTAACGTCGCTATTATACGAGTTACAACGCGTTAAAAAAAATTCTTAGTTCGCGTGTAAAATTCGTTAGGTTGAAATCTGAAGAAATTAAATAAATACAAAAGATATCTCTCCATCACTTTTTATGCTGAATGATATTAATTGCTACGTAACATCTCTTATTTGGAATAAATTTCAATTATTCGCAATTATATAAATCTCGCCTGTGTACTTGTAACTATCTAAATTATCTTATGACGGAAAATATTTAAAACACATAATTTGAAGAAACTAAGTTATGATGTTCGATGCAATATCGAGCTACTCGACATATGCGCGCGAAGCAAAATGTCTCCGCACTGGTGGAGAAGCGACTACGTGCATATATGTATATCAACAGCATATTGGACTTCCATTCGCGATGGAATAAATATGTTCGAGGAAAATAACCTGTCCCCGGGGGAAAACCATAGACAAGATTCGTGATCGAGGAACAAGGGAATACCGGTAATAGTGGAACTGCAGTTGGGGGATGATTATTATCAAACAACGGATAGGGAGACCCGGACAGTACTAAACATGCAATCACATTGCTATTACAACTAGACGGGATTAACTATAATTAGAGAGGCGTGTGCGGGTTAGTCACGCGGGCTCATCATTGCGATTCGAGTCGCAGATTCTACGTTTGACCTGCCGTAAAACATCGAACGCGGTCGGTAAATAAATCGACGAGGAGCGAGGGCGCGGACGCGACGCGATTGGGTGAACACCCTCACTTGTTCCCATCGACCGACTCGCTTCTGAACGCGCTCAGAACCTATCCCTCTCGTTCTCTTTGCTTTTTATTGCGACGAAGGCCGCTTAAATAAGCTCGGCGCTCCGATAAGGATCGCAGGTGAAGTAAAATAAATTACTTCATTCGTACTGCCGAGTGACTCGCCCTATTATCTCAGGCTGTTTCTTCGCAACTCTTCGTCGCCGTGTTCATCCTCTTCTGTTTCACAGGAACAGCGAGCCGCGGCGTCAGTCTCGGCGGTTTATCTTTTCTTTTCTCTTTTTTTTGGCGGCGCGGCGTCCAGTACGTTCTTTGAGCCTGAAGAACAAAGTAAACGTACACATCGTATTGTTTAATTAACACAACGCGATACAAATATAATGTGTTACGCATGACGTTTAACTGTTGGAACATTCTCACGCGCGTAACATAAACTTTTTCTTCCATGTTGACGATTGCATTTTTACTTTGTTTCAAACATTTTTCCAACACGTTTTTCTTTTCTCACGTATCACGAACTTACGCTATATTACGACAAGCTTTTTTAATTTTTTTCAAACAAAAAAAAATAAATAACACAAATTCTTTTCTTTCAAGTTCAACGATTTTGTTACCATATTTTTGTTCTCTACATCGTTGTGAATTTACATTCTGTATCCAGTATATTTTACATTTCTTGTTTTCTGCGATTCTCTCTACTGGCCGTGTTTCTTTTTGAAATTTTGTGTATTGTTTCTTATTTTTTTTTCACAATCCGACTCGTTAATATGAATGAATCTATTTTTTGGTTTTTTCTTTGTTTGCAGGTCCTCGTTAGAAAACGGTCAACCGTCGATGCAAGAATATAGAACGAGAATGCCCGCATGGAATTCCCTGAATCTGTGAGTATCTTATCTGTGCAAAAAATAGTTCCATGCGACGGAGACGATATCGTATCTAATATTACACACTCGCAACTGACGGTCGTAACACCACATTTAACATCCTCACTCTCGGCCATCCGTTTTCTCGTTACGACGGTACCATCGAGGTGTGTACACACAAACCGAACGGTGGTTAATGGACCGGGCCAATAAACCGGGCGACGTTACATCGATTACAAGGCCCGGAGAACGGAACTTTCCGCGATCCGACAATAATTCTAAATATCGAGGTATCGATCCGCACGTTGGATTCTCCGGATTAGTTCGATCCGGTTAGTCCGTCGCGCGAGGCGAGTAACGGCCACTTTCCGACACCCGTTATATACCCAAAATAATCTCGACGACGTTTTCGTTGATCTTTTCGTTCTATTCCAGTCTCCACTCTTTCTATCGGCGTCGCGACATTCGGCATTTTTCATTTCTGCAAAAAGCAGTCTGCGATTATTTGTCCAGAATGGTTAATCGCAAAGATATTGACTTTATTTCGTGGATTGCGCTTTGCCATCTCATTGATGATGCAACAATCTAAAGAGCTGTTTGTTCCAAAAACTAAGTTAAATTAAAAAAAAACAAAGCGTGGATTTATTTGTACTTAATATGTTGTTTCGTATCTCATTATCCGAGATATTTTGCAATTGTACGATCTTCTCAGGTTTGTTAAGAACTTTCCTCGTTATTTGTAAAAGAGGATAGTGGATATTTTTTATCTTTTTTTATTTGTATCGGTCTCAATAGCGTGGCATTTCGCATTGTTTATTGTATACTATGGATGCATTTTCCGATACAGCTCGGAGAAGAAAGTTAACGACGCGCTGTATAATTGTAGATAGAACGCTACCATTCGAGCAATGTATTCTTGTTTGTTTTTTACGCGAGTCTAAAAAGTATTTCCGGATAATTCCGTAAATTGGGAACGTCAATCGATACTCGCACAAATTGGCGACTCGGCAAAACGTAATAAGATAAACAAATCAGTCGTGTCAATATTTGACGGAGTCGTGCAGTTATTTAATATTCATGAAAACTGTTTTAAAAGATGTGCAATATTAAGAAGCAGTCTTACTCGGATCAGTCTATCTGCTCGTGCTGAAATTGGACCAACCGAATTCATGAGTCTACTTTCCATGCAGCAAAGTACCTCGGCCGAGTTTCGTTGTTAAGCTTTCAAATTCGTAGCTGGCTATTTTCTCGTTTTTTCCTTCGCTGTCTTGTAATAAAGTTAAATAAATACAGTTGTGTGACCAGCATACTTTAAACCAAAACTAGAATTAGTGTGAGAACTTATGTATTTTAGATCTACTTTTAAATGGACAAATGTCGGAGTTCTGATTTGTGGATCGGTAAGTTGTTTAGGTTAAAAAATATTTTCACCGCGTTTCGAGAAAAAAGAGCTGCTGTCAATTATTCAACAGAAAAAGAGCGAGTTCGAAGTTACATCTGCAAAATATGTAAAATAAAATAACACGCTTCTCTCTGTTGGCTTTGGTCATGTTTAATAAATTATAAATGATACCTCACACGTAGAGATGCGAAAACCTGACCGAAATATATTGTAGCAATAAAAAGAACGAATAAAAGTTGCAAGAGTAGGGTTTCCAAAATTAGAAGATAAAGAAAGAATTATCGAAGTTCTTTGTAGAACACATATCTTTCCTACATCGTCCTCGAACGCCGTGAAGACTTAGATCTATATCAAAAGCCTTCGTAAAAGGTAGCTGCCAGAGAATCGTCTGATTGCCGATAGGGAGCTTTGCTTTCAGTGTCTGGGGAAGGAAGTCCCGAATAGAAGTCATCCTTCTCCCCGATGGCGCGGCCAAGGACGGAGAGAAAGCGACGGGAGGTCGATGATGGAAGAGCACAAATGAGGACTATCTCAAAAGTACGCGACCGTCGTTCGAGAGAAACTTTCACCTAACGGAAACGTAGAAGCCTCTCTTTTATTTGTTTCTTTCGAACGTAATGTCGAATCAACGCAGAGTAGACACGTAGGAAAAGAACAAGAGTGACTTCCGGCATACGGAAACGACCGGAGACCGCGCGATTGAGACCAACGTACGACGAACAACGTACGGGAAAGAAGTGGCGTATATCCTACGGGACGCGTATCATGGCGAATCGTGCTTTTCTTTTAACGAGCCGGTCTAGCGGCAAAGTTCTTTTTGCTGCTATTAACTTCGTAGCGCGAGCGCTCATGGAGGGAAAACGGATTCATGTAAAATTCATCCAGAGTTGCCAGCAGCAGTTCGGACGCTACGAAGTAAAGGCTCGGGAAGCAAGTTCTATGAAATTTACCCTTTCACCGTGCTTCTGCAAGAGCAACGGGATATATATGGCTTTTTAATAGGTCGCCCTCGCCTTCGACGTTCTCCCCAAGTTTCGGACTATGGAGCGTGATTTATATTGAAATTCATATTGGCCGGGAGCGGCATTTAATTTATATACATGGAAATTGTTGAGCGAAATATTCGCAAAAGCGGGATACTCGTACAGAGAGAAACGCAATGAGATGTTGTTCTCTTCGCGGATTGAATTTCGCGAAGCGTTTTGACGGCGAAAATACAAAGCCTCCAAAGTTATAATAAGATGAATAAACCGAATTCTGTATATAAATTTTTTAAATAAAATATATGATTTTGCGAATTCACTTTTCAACTTTCCTTTGTACATGTTACTGGATTATTCTTTCAGGACTTCTCTCCTTTTGCCGTCGAGATGGGTTTTCTGAGATCCGTTTTATATCTGTCTACACGTCTTTTCTTTTATTTCGTCTTTCCCCTAAAGAGAAAGAGAGAAAGAATAAGAGAGAGAGAAATAGAGAGATCTTGCAATAACTTTTTAATTCTTACCACTCCGTTGACATCAGACAATTCCGTTTCCGTCGAGCATTGCGCTGTTTACAGAACTCTCCAGCACAGTCGTATCACGACGCTCTCCCCATTCTCTGAACTTATGGCGCGAACGTCTGAAGTGCGCTTCTGGCAGTATTACCCCGAGCAAAGGGTTGAGCGAACGCGGAACAGTTATTGTTCGGAATTTACTGCCTATTCTTACACATCGCGATTCCTTTTTCGGACACTGGAAAGAAACTCGAAGAGAGAAAGAATCGTAACGCAAAAGATACGTCGGCGAAACGATCGAAAGTTTCCGATAAAATTCTCTTCGTTCTCATCACTTTTCGGCGCGCGGAGAATTGCGATATTTTCAAAAAAAACAACAACAACAAATATCACTAGAGAGCAGTGACAATTAAAGAATAGAAAAATAAAATCGATGTGCGCAATAATTATTAGAAAAACCTGAAATACGATTAGTCAAGATTAACTTCAACTTCTTCTACGGAAGAGAAAATATTAGCATCGTTTTAATGGACATTGTTTTCGCATCGCATTCTCTCGACGCAGCAGCAGTCGAAGGCGCCTTTTCGCAAAGCGCGTCGGAGTTCGCTTCGTTCCCATTAGCGCCGGTGTATGGTGTCAACGTTGGCACAGTGTTAGTAGGATCCACGGCAGGATGCGCAACCACCGTTTGCTCGAAATGAGGGCTGGATACCTACCGGAAGTTTAGCTCACATCCCCGCGCACCTCCCGCGGCTGCATTGCGCGCGAGAATATTTGCCCCGGCGGTGTTCGGCACTTTCCGCGCTAATAAACCGTTCCTCTCGCTACCGTCGCTAATTACTCGACGAACGAGTCCCGAGTCTCTCGCCTCCTTCCGCGTCTTTCCGCCCCTCATCTGTCGAAATACCGTAAGCGTTGCTCCCTCCAATCTCACATCCCTCTAAGCACGAAACTACTTACTACTACTCCTTAGTTGTGCGAAAGATATTCTCGGAATTCTCCCGGGATTGATGCCGCTCGCAACAGCGAGCGCTTTATTATCGGGTCGGACAAACAAATAATTAACTTCGCCCGTTGAAACTGTAACTACGAATTGTTCTCTTATGTTAACCGAACGCCGAACTCTGGTGTACCACACTCTGGTGTGATTTATTAGTCTAAAATATCCTTGTGAAATACTGATATATCTGAAGATGTATATTATTACACATGATTTATAAAATAAATTCTATTTTCAAATAAATAAAACTTTCAATACAATCTTTCCTTGATTCGACCACACGGTGTTAATAAAATAAACAGCGGTCGCGTAAGTGTGCCGTTCTACGGAAGAATTTCTCTCATTCTCCGGGAATCGCAATCTCTTTCGCGTTACCTCGCCCGTGCCAGAACTCGATAGAAACTTTCGCACGAGAGCGGACGTCGTGAATAAAGTTAGCAAGAGAAATAGAATTAGAAGACATGCGCGCGCGCGTGTGCGAGTAGAACGTCAAACTTATATAATTAAGGATAGCTAGAGGTCATCAGGCAAGCTTTGACATTTGAGATGTAATAGTTAATGTTAAACTCAACCACATCGACGAAAGAAAGTGCATCTCGACTCCCAAGCGAAATGTAAAGAGCGCAAACTTGCGCAGTGACTTACGAGCTCTTCATCGGACGTGCCAGACGTGCGGTTTTTGCATTTGACAACTCGCTCTGACGCGGGAAAGAACGTTAAGAGATTGTGTCGCGTCGTTCAAACTCCGAGGATTGTTCAAACTTAGTGTGACACGAGGCAAGGACGAGCGAAGAACGAAGGGAAAAAAAAGCGCACAAAAGGGAAGGTTGCTCGGCCGCCAATCGTGGGAACGGAGTAAGTTATTAACGTTTCGAACTGCCTGAGGGTCTCGAGGACTTCGTTTCGGTGAAAAGGCTGTTCAAACTTGAGACGTCTAGTTGTCTTCCGTGCACGGTCTCGACGGCAACGACAGCGGCGGTTTCACAGGATACTCGTGGACGACCTGCACCCGCGCCCATATAGACGCTCGTCTCGTATTCCCAGAGGGTTTAATTAAGAGGGCGTGTTGTCGGTAACTTGTCGTCGTTGATCAATAGCTCAAGGGGTACTACGTGCTGTGA